TCGTGGGCAGGGCATTCCTTGGAGGCTGGATCTGCTGCCACGGTGAATCCTGCCACCCAAGGTGATCACCTCACCTTCCCTCATGGGTGGGGTCAGCTCTGCATGCATCTCAAGGCAATTTACAAGTATGCCATATACAGTGGTACCTCAGGTTACATACGCTTCAGGTTACAGACTCCGCTAATCCAGAAATAGTGCTCCAGGTTAAGAACTTTGCTTCAGGATGAGAACAGAAATTGTGCGGCGGCGGCGGCGTGGCAGCAGCGGGAGGCCCATTAGCTAAAGTGGTGCTTCAGGTTAAGAACGGACCTCCGGAATGAATTAAGTACTTAACCCGAGGTACCACTGTAACCAGTTTAGAAACAGTACAAAAGACAACTGAAGAGAGGTTGGAAAAACAGTTCAAAATGAACACCTAAGGCAGAGCCCGTTTCATCCAGCTGGAAAAGCTTGTCTTCAACTATTTCCGGGAAATACAGTGAGTGGATGCCTGTCATATCTCATCAGGGATGCTGCTCCACATGGTTTATCATGCTGTATATTTCCCCACCTTCCTACCCTATTATTGGTGGGAGGGAAAATGCTCAACATGACGACGCTGAGACAGTTTTGCTACACTATGATGAGGGAGAGGAAGCCTGAGACACAGTTGCTGCTCGGAATATTCAGAAAATACTTGGTTAGAATCAGAAGACATTTATGGAGTGAAAGACATGCTACTCTGTACTTAATGCAGTGCAGAAATAACTTACATTATTTCAGGAATACAGAACAGGAACTGGAGGAAAAGAAACCCACAACAACAGGAGCCAGCGAACAATCAATGAGCGCTCTCACTTACAAAATATTGCCAGAGTTGTCTATTTTGAACAAAATCAATTTAGCCCAAGGTGCCTTTCCATAATGAACCATTCACAGACAGTGGTCTGCAATTACTTTCTTTTTTGGTGGCACAATCAATAAAGAGTAACGTTTTCTAATAAAGTTGCCTTCCTTACAATTCCTAATTGGTTGCAATTGATGGGCAATTTCCCCCCATTAAAGTCAATGTCTATGCTTGGTGGCTCCTTTTTTCCAATCTTAAGTGCACCGTCCCATTTCCACATCAGCTTGCAGTAATCCTTTTTAAACTCTGGACAAAAATATATACAGACTGGGGTGTAACAGGGTAGGGCATACTTATGTGTGCTCCACCAACACGCACAGGGTCTGGGAACGGAACCCCAGCACAGAATGGTAGCTGCCTGTATGTATTTTTATGTATGGTACATTTCTCCCCCACATTTTTGTATGCAATTTTGCCTCATAAATACATTTTTGCACAGAATTTCTAACAACACTTATTTCTGCACAGTATCGAGTAATATACGCTTTTGTGTGTGTGCACCCTTTCCCCTCAAATAAAGATTTGGCATTTTTAATGTTTGGCTGGTTAACTGCTGTCAGGGAACTGACATCAGAGCGAGAGGTGAAGGGGAGGCTCCCAGATGATGCTGGCGAAGGACCCAGCACCAGGAGGAGAAGTAGCCTGGTAGAGGGGGAAGGAAATCAGCGCAACACCAGGGATAAAGGGGGGCAGATGGGGGAAGCGGAGAGAGGGCTCCAGGACTCTTCACTGGACATCAGTGAGGAGAGCACAGGTCCTCCACTACCCACGCCCTCCCTGCGCAGAAGACTCCCGCGCAGTGAGAGAAGGAGGAGACTGGGACTCAAACAGCTTTTATGCTGGAAGAGGTTTAAGAAACGCCCACTGACAGATTCTGCTAGCGACTGAGGCAGCCGCGCGGAGATGGGCTGTGCAGTCAGAACGGTTTAACAAGGCAATTTAGCCTAGAGAGGCGGCAGTTTACGCACGAGTAACTCATACCCATTACAACTGCATTGCAAAATTCAGAAAAAATGTGAATTCCTGTCACACTCCCATGGGTGCCAGGAGGTATAAGTCTCTCACCAAAGCATTCACTAAGCATACCATTGAGGGGGTGCAGTGTAGTGCAGTGCAAAGAAACTGGGGACAAACACAAGGTTCAAAACATGATCCAGAGACAACTCTCCCAAGATCAGTTAACACAGGGTGTCCCAGCACCATGTAGCTTAGCAATCATAGAAGACTAGGTTTAGGAACGAAAAGCCTTTCCTCCAACAATTGGATGGCTCAAGAGGGAGACCTTTAATACTGCAGTCTCCTAAACTACATCCTAACCTCAGCAGCTGACAATGAAGCAGCTTTGGGGATTATTTACTCACAGGGAGACACCCTCACTCACAGCCCAAGGTCCATAGATGTATGCTATGTTGCTGCTCTTTGTCTCAAATCTTTTGGTTTGGGCATTCTCGAGAACTGTGGAGGGTGACTCCACCTCTTCCTCTGCTCTTCGGCGGCAGGTCTCCCCACCACCAGGAGGCCCCTCAAGGAGACCCTTAGCACTGTATCCAAGGGACCCTGCCTGCTCCTCAACACCCTTGACCTGTGTGGAGTCTGAGCCATCCTTTCAGGACTCAGTGTCTGGTACCGGGTCAGTGCCAGGTTTGGCAATTTCACAGCAGCAATTCCATTCTTACGTGGATTCAGGGACTACAATTTAGGTGGGCTCAAATGGAATGAATTTCTACTGCATCCCTACTCAGAAGTTCTGCTGCGCCTATGTGTCTTACTATGGAGTTACGTGTGTTTACAGCCAAAGGGTTTTTGAAAAGCACACACGCCATCACCACCAACACAGTTTCCGGTATTGGACTTTACGATTAAAATGGTGGCAAATAACACAAGATACCTAAACATGAAAGAAGAAAAAGGTTATTTATCCAGAAGATTTATGTGAACTCAAGTATGCTGAATTAACACAGCAAGCTGCTGAATACAAAGGTCACTGGATTAACATGGCAGCAGATTTACAAAAAATCAAGTTGAGTTTTACTTATCCAAGTAATTGTTCACCTGTCAAAGTGTGAGTCACAAAAGAGAGGTAAAGAGCACTGTGGAACTGAACAAATTCACCCATGCCACCACATTTCTGTAAAGACATTCAGAGTAATCTGGTTTAAATATGTGGTTAATAATAAATTGGTATCTCTGCATTTTGGGTTGGTTTCCCTGCCCCACTTTAAGGAAATTCTAATATGGTAGCCATGTAGCCTGAAGTCTTCTAGTCTGCTCCTTCTTTCCATTACCAGAATGGTGATAAATATATCATCATAGTCATCTCAAGGGAGAGTTATTTTTTGCCACTTCTTGCAAGTTTCTGCCAGTTATTGCAATTATATTAATGGCCACAGCAGCCAAGTTTAGCTCACTTTACAGTGGTTCCCAGAATCAAGAAAAAAGCCGGCTAAAAAGGGATTATAGGATCATAGTACAAGAGTTGGGTCTTTGTATAACTCCATCAGTAATGACATCTCAGCATCACACACATACTACTCTCCAGCTATGTCAGAAGCGAGGCACCTCCTCCCAGATCATCAGAACTTCTGCTGCATGGAGACAGCACTCAGATACCTTTTTGGAGAGCAGTTCTTACTCTTTACTGACTCTGAATGAACCCAGTAAATACAACAATAATCTATGGATCATTTCTAAATCCCGATTTCATTCTGTGCTGAGTCAGTGATTTTGGTAATAAGAGCAAACAGTTAAAGGCACACAATATAAAAATAGAGGGAGGGAGGCTCACCTACTTAAAAAAAACCCAATTTCATTAAGAACCTAACAACTTGAGGTTGTTAAAATGAAGAAGCAATGCTTAAAAATACTTCTCTTTATGTCAACATTTGTCAAACGCGAGATATGGTTTGCAGTGGCTTTACATGACAGAATTCCTGTTCTTCTCTTAGTGACATGGTAATTTTCAGTTGTCTCACAAGGACACACTTGCAGAATTGGGCTTCAGAACTGAGCAAACTTCACCACCGTCGTATTGTCTTCTGCCAAGTAATGTTCCACAAGATCTATCTGTGAAGCAACTGTCTGGGGGTGGGGTGCTTTTCTCTGTGTGCCACATTATAATAGCAGAACCCCCCCCCAATCATCTGGATCTACCTGCGGTTTTGAATTTTGCACCTTTTTCCAGAAAAACCACCAGCGTACATTCAGCACAATGCAGCTTCCTGTTTTCTGCCATTGCAGCAATCACAGTTCACAACAACACATGCAGAGCCTGCATGCAAACAGTTGTATGTGCATGATGGCCAGCTCTTACTCAGTGCTGCAACACTATCAGCTCTTACTCAGTGCTGCAACACTATCAGCAGCAGTAACAGAGGTGAGGACAGACAAAGGCGGCTCTGCAATCTCTGTGGGCTACTACCTGCACACACACCATCCCCCAGGCACACACATTAAAATTGCCCTACCCACTAACATGACACTCCACTTCTTCATGCTGATTTTCTTTTAACACTCTGCTTCTTCAGACTGCCTCAACCCACCCCAGATTCTTGGGTTCCACCCTTTTTAATGCTGGGCTCTGCCCTGTAGCCTATGGTCGTTTGAAAGCGAGTCCCATATTTCAGGTTGGGATTACAGGTGAGTCCCAGCTCTTAGTAAGCTGAAGACCACTGCACCCGAACACTGACAGGCTTTCTAGCTGCTCTCCACAAATAACATCATAAGTGTTCAGTATGTACTGAGCAGTAGAGGAAAGGGTAAAAAACAGCAAGGCAGGAGTGGAGTCATTTGTGCTGTACTGAAGAAAGAAAGCTTCTGCTTTGATTCTGTAGTGATGACAACATGAATAGCTAGACTACAACCTCTGGTCCTTTTTATGAAATGGGTGGGGAGAGGGAGAGAAAAGCTAGAAGGGTCAGGGTACTTCTTTTAGTATAATAACCTGAGCAACAATTATCCAAATTCATGTAAATCAATAGCATTTTGGATAACCTGAATGCCATTATACAAAGATGTAGGACATCATGAATCAGTATGGAGAAATGATTATGGTTGGACTGCAAACGGAAAATAACAATCTGAAAACACAAAATGGTCTATTCATAATGGAACTCACCTGTATAATGGACCACACATGTCTGGCCTTTCTTTGGAAATGTCCTTCCTGTTTAAAAACATGAACAAACGCATACGTTAAAAATGCTGTTGAACATCCTTTTAGAAAAGTGGATGTTTAAAAAGAGTCAAACCAAGCAGAATAAACTCATTCATATCGAAACCTACATTAAATACAAGATAAAATGGAAATTGAATAATTTGGGTTTTCTGTGTTAAAAACACCGACCAGTGTAAGAAAACAAAGGTGTAGAGGCAGAGATGGTGTCATGTAGTGTGAATGACATTGTAATCACATACCTGTAGCTTATGCTAGTCTCACCCTCCCAGAGAGTGGCTTATATGTGCCATTTGGAAAGAAGGGGGAACAGATTTCAATTTTAAACGATACAATTTAAACGACCATCAATTTAAACGATACAATTGGGATCATTCTTTTACTACTGTGTTTTTTTAATTAAATGACAACCATGCCTAAAGAGGGCCCACAAATATGATTTCAAAGAGCAGTGACCAAAAGCTTGATTTCAGCCAGCTTCTAGTTTGCTTCATCACAGGACCATTTTCAACAAAGTTATCAGTGTCACGGGGAGGCAAACAGCAGAAGAATGTGCCTCATACTGGGATCATGATGCCTTCCATTTTGTCCCTTAAAATCTTTTGTTGAGCATCTGGTCCACAGGGGATACACTTACTTTGTATCGGCTACCTTGAGAACAAAAGAGCAGCCCTGCTCATTCAGACCAAAGACCTAGAATAATAGAATTTTAGACTTGGAAGGGGACCCGAGGGTCATCTAGTCCTCTGCAATGTAGGAATATTTTGCCCAACGTAGGACTGGAAGATATTTCAAAAAGTTCCAAAGTTGTTGAGCAAAAATAAATAAACTGGAGCTATTTTTTCAGGTATGGGACGCGGGTGGCGCTGTGGGTAAATCCTCAGCGCCCAGGGCTTGCCAATCGCATGGTCGGCGGTTCGAATCCCCGCGGTGGGGTGAGCTCCTGTCTGCGGTCCCAGCTCCTGCCCACCTAGCAGTTCGAAAGCACCCCTAAAGTGCAAGTAGATAAATAGGTACCGCTTTCTAGCGGGAAGGTAAACGGCGTTTCCGTGTGCGGCACTTGTGCTGGCTCACCAGTGCAGCTTCGCCTGGCCCATACGGGCAGGGGTACCTTTACCTTATTTTTTCAGGTAAATCATCAGAAATGACACTGCCGACATGACTTGCCATGCGTCCGGATTTCCCCGGACATTTTTAGTGATTTCTGCCACAGACACTGTTTCCAAATGCAGTATTCCGGCTATGTCCAGGAAATTCCAGAGGTATGGCAACCCTACTTGAACCCACAATCCTGAGATTAAGAGTCTCATGCTCTACTTTCTGAGCTATCTAGTCAAGCATCCTTTTCCCATGGTGGCCAATCAGATGTCCCAGGGAAGCCCACAGGCAAGACAAAAGGGCACTTATTCACCTGCCAAAATCTGTAGACTATTGTCCACAATAATTATATTCACCAGTCAGGGGCTGTAAATCTGGTGAAACTGAAGAGTTATGCCTGGCTGAACACGATGTAACCATTTTAGAATGAGTAGAGCATTTGAGGTTTTACAGGATTCTTCCTCTGTGCTGTGAGCTGGGCTAAATTGCCATCATTCTGTTGTATGTTCTCAAACCGAGCTGCACCCACGACAAAGACTTCTTCAGAGTCAGTGTCTGGCTAATGACTAAGTGGCACACATTTCCTTCATGGTAAAAAGCTATCTCCACTTCATGGCAAAAAGCTATCTCTACATGTTACTGTCAGCCACAAAACCCTGCTAATCCCCATTCACTGGTCACCCCCACCCCATTACAACAGGAGTTCTTTGCTTTGCTAGCTCTGCAGTTGCAGCAGCGGTCTCTTCAATAGGAGCCTTCTCCAGGTTTTCACAGAGGAGCAAGCCTGAAGCCTTGTCTCTCTCCTGAATGGAGAGGCTCACATTTTAAACAGGGAAGTACAGCGTACTATAATTTGCTCTTGTTACCAAATTACTTCACTGCGCTTGGATTTATGCAGCTGTCAGCAAATGCCATTTAAATATCCCTAATCGCTTGTGGCTGCCTATGCTGCTGCCAAAGAAACAGAAGACTGCAGCCCACCGATCCACAGAGCCCTCTGGGCATTTTCCCTCATTATGTTGCTCAGGACAGGCACCCTCCACCATATTCTAAGCCAGGGAAGTCTCAAGTTTCCCCCCACCTGACAGCAGGAAAACACCGCTCCCATCCCCCACCATATATATATGTAGGTATATTTGCATTTAGCATTTTTTCCACGCATTTTGCATTTTACAATTCCTGTTCCAAACATCCTGTAGGTTCCACTTTCTCCGATCCTCCCTGATTCAGTCTCCTGAGACAGCCAGAGAAAGAGACAGTCACCTACCCATTCAGCTCTCTGACCTCAAATATCCCTCTGAAATGATAGGAAATCCGATCCCTTCGTCAGCCGCAGTTGGGCTGAAATATACTTTACAAGCTTGGCAAGGTGGACAAGAGTGATGGCCAAGGCAGGAGAGAGCCAAAGAACCACAGGGTGCTGACCAGGGTGTGGAGAACAGGAGGACGCGCTGCACCTCAAATAAGGGACCCAGAAACCCTGAACACCGCCTGCATTGCACTGAGCTGCATTGCACTGAGCTGTCGGTGGAGCCTGAGGCTCTTAAATCTCAGCGTCGTGGGTTCGAGTCCCACGGTGGGCAAAAGATTCCTGCATTGCAGGGGGCTGGACTAGATGATCGTCGGGGTCCCTTCCAACTGGACAATTCCAGAACTGACGTTGCTCCACCGTTACCAAGAGCACCCCTACTTGGTACCACTCCCTGGCCAAAAAAACTCCCCTTCCAGTTCATTCATCGCCTTCTCCCAACCAAATCTCCTCCTCTCCTCTTCTGAGGAGCCAGAGGCTCCACCACCACCACCCTCCTTTCCCCCATAGGCACCCAGCTCCTCCTGCAGCTGCTTTGCCCTGCCGCCCCTCTCTTCCCCGCGCCCCTCAACCCGAACCCGCGGCGAGGGGGGCACCGCACCGTCTCCCGGCGTGATGGTCTCGACTTCCACCCCCATGGCCGCCGTGCTCCCGACGCGGCGCGCTCCCGCTTGGCAACCTGCTCCGCGCACCACGCGCCGCCGTCCTCCTCGGCCGGTCCCGGCTTAGCGAAACCCTCCAGCCGGCGCATAGCTCCCCGCCCCTCTCCGCAGCTGACGGACAAGCGCCTCCGGAGCTGCCCATCAGCCCACCCGGCCAATGGAAAAGTGGGGAGGGGGGCTGCAGGCGCCGCCGTCGCCCAATCCCCCCGCGAGGTGGCGGAGGGGAAGGCAGGGCGAAAAGCCTCCCGTGGGGAGGAGCTGGGCGGCGGAGTAAGAGGGCGGGGGACCGCGCTGCAAAAAGATAAGACAGGCAGGCAGGGTGCGCAGCTTGCGGAATGAATGCAGTCCTGTTTCCTTGGGGGAAGCAGGCGCTGCTCCTTTGGCAGCGCAGAGCCCGGCTTGCCAAACGCGGGCGTGGAAACAATTCGGCATTTTAAGTGGAGGCTGGGTGGCCATATGTCATGTGAGATCTCTGCATTGCAGGGGGTTGGGCTAGATGATCCTCGGGATCCCTTCTAACTCTGTGAGCCTATGATTCCAGTCTAGAGCTTTTACAGTATGCACTTTTTTAAGGCACGCTCCGTCTCCCTCTTCTGCCTTCAGGGACAGCCTCCCTAGCCTCCGTGGGGCAGCGGCTTGCCCCGTTGTCCCCGGAGCTTGTGGGGCAAGCTTCTCCCCACCGCCAGCCTCCAAACCAAGTCGGGGAATAGCGGGATGGCGGCGCTCCGCCTCCCCGCTGTCCCCCGAGCTTGTGGGGCTGCCCAATATCTGCCCGAAGCCCGGGGTGCGCTCCGGAACTCCTGCCGGGCTCGCAAGGTTTGCAGATAGCTTCCTGAAGCCTGGAGAGCGAGAGGAGTGGAGCGCACCGACCCCTCTCACTCTCCAGGCTTCAGCGAAAGCCTGCATTCGCCCCATAGGACACACACACATTTCCCCTTCATTTTTGGAAGGGGGAAAAGTGCGTCCTATATAGGGCGAAAAATACGGTATATCGCCAAATTGGAACAAATGGCAACAGATTGCTGTTTGTTCCGATTTAGCGCTAAAGAGCACGTTTTCTGGGGGAAAGCAGTGCAGGAAAGGCAAAACAACTCAGATCCATACCTAGAAAGCACAGGACAAGTGGAAAACTGTTCAGATCCATGCTTTCTAGTCACAGGGCAAGCGGAAGTGCGGATGAGCCCTAAGTGTAAAGCAGTTTCCTAAGAAACTGAGAAAGGAGCTTTGCTGGAGCAAATCAAGGGTTCATCTAGTCTTGCATCCCACAGCAGCTAACCAGAAGTGTCATGGAATTTGGGTAAGGGATGTAGCTTGGATGCATTTCACAATCCCTGTTTGAAGTATTGGTGCACACTATTTATTATTTCTTTTTTTTAAGGAGGAGGATAAGGCTATCAATGGCTGATAATCCTAAAGGCTATATACTGCCTCCATGATCAGAGGCACTGCACCTCTAGATGCCATTTTGTATGTGCTTATGTTCTCTAACCAAAGGTTTTTCAAGGTTAGAATTGCCTTATATATAAGAAAGCAAAATGCGCAGAATCCTATGGCAATATCAGGCTTCATACAATTCCTAAGCGCAATAGGACTATAACAACTGTATAATGCAAGTGACATATATAATAAGTGACTGAGATTTCTGCCTTCACTATTTACAAAGAATTAATGCTGGAAATTTTCCCAACCCTTCTCTTGCTAGTTTAATTTAATTTTCACTAAATCAATTAAAGAAACAGCCCATAAAATCACTTTGTTTTATTCTTATTTCTTTTAAATCACTGTCCAGGAAGATTTACTTTAATATATACTGTTTACTTGCAAAAAGGGTTTGGAAACAAATACTTTCATTCCTCCATCCAATTCCTCCCCCCCCCCCCGGTTCAATAATTCAATACTGTAAGGTTTTGAGGTCCTCTCGGGGTCAGCCCCTGGCACTCTAAGTGGTAGAAAGCTTTAAGACAGATCCAGTCCAATACATTTTGCTGCCTGGGGTGAAGGACAAGACGACAGCTCCCTCCCTTCTTCCATGTACTGAACCCGCTAGTCTGACATTTGAATAATCCTTCAGCCCTGGTGATGGGACAGCATCCATCACTACATGCTAGCCTGCTAGCAGCAGGCTAGCTTAGGGGCTGGAGAGCAGGTCACATAGCACAAATAGCTATGTTCTTCACCTCACTGTTGCCGCCTGCCCATCACCACCTGCCACTTGAGGCAGATGCTTCACTCTACCCATTGGTAGGGCTGGCTCTGCTTTAAGAGACAGTGCAAGGAAGGAGATTAAATAGGATGGAAGCCCTCCATTCCTCCAGGAGCTGTTAGCTCTACACACGCAGAATGTGCTGGTCCCGTGGGTTAACCGTGAGGCAAGGTCAGAGTCCAGTCCGAGGTCAAGGGTGCAGTATGGAGGCAGTCCGTCAAAGCTGAAGCTGGGTCCAAGGCAGGGAGTCAGGTGAGGTCAGGTGCTCCGGCAGGAAATCAGGACAGGGTGCAGGCAGAAACTGGCTACCAACAATGTTGCTCCCGCAACTTGGGACTGGGGCTGGCTGGCTTCTATCTGCCCTGAGGCATAGGGCGGCCCTGGTCCACAGGTGACTCGCCTCTCCTGCGGGAACTTAGTTCCCTCCGCCTCTCTGCCCTGAGCCTCTGCAGCTCAGGAGAGGATGGAGGGTTACCGGAACCAGAGGCAACCTCAGCTTCCCCTGACAGGGCTGAGAGTGGAGCACCTGCAGGCAAGGGGTCCTTCATCACCTCAGGAGCCAGAGCAGACTCAGCTGGTGCCTGCACCTGAGGATCCAGCACAGGTGAGGACCCTTCAGGCTCATGCCCCAGCCCTGGCTCAGCTGGTTCTGGAGGCGGGGAATCCTGTGCAGGCTGGGATTCCTCAGGTTCAGCATCTGAGTCCGAATCCCAGGCCATCACAAAGAATGAACTAGCATGGGAACACTTTTTGACAAGCAACCCCCCCTCTCCCTTATTTAGATGATGTAGTTCTTTATGGGGAACTGCCTTCAGGCACCACGCCCACTGGCAGACCAACACTGTGTTACAAAGATGTCTGCAAATGTGGCATGAAGGCTGGCAACATCAACTCCATGATGCCTGGAGACAGTCAGGTCATGTATCCATAGCAGTGATCAGAGGAGGAATGGCCACTGGGAGGAGCTTCATCCACCCCAGCTGCAACAAAACATGTCTCCCCCATATCGGTCTCTACAGCCACAGAAGGCCCTGTAACCTTTCAAGTTTGACTTCGCCCCCAAGGCGCACTATGCCAACAATTTATGTGGAAGACAACAGCACCATCTGCCTTGCTTAATGTCTGAATCAACTTACAAGCACTGAGTCATTTATTGGTGCATTTGGATTTCTTTCAGCATGTCCAGTTCTGTGACAGACAGACAGACAGACAGACAGACAGACACACACACACACACACACACACACAAACACATCCTCCAAGGGTAAAAATGCTGAGAAAAGAATTTGGATGTGAGAATGCTCTCTCAAGTATTGTATTGCAATATGTAACCTTCTACAGAGTGACATAGTTTTGATAGCCCACATTCTGCACAATGCACAGACACTACACACACAAAGTATTGTGCAGAAGCGGGGGGCCTGAACAAAATGTGTTTGTTTTCAAGTTCTTTTTGTAACTTCACAAAGAGATCAAGGCCAAGCTGTGGAAATCACTGTAATAGCCCTTAATAAAAAGGAAAGTGTCTAGCTTAATTTACAAGTCAAGGCTGCAGTCTGATACATGATTTACTGACAAGCAGCCCAATGCATCGAGGTTTTGTGTATTGGACTTATGTTGTTGTTGTTGTTGTTGTTGTTGTTGTTGTTGTTGTTGTGCATTGTTGCTATATTTCACCTATGCATGATTTTACCCACATGATACTGTATATTTGAATTTAAATTATGTTCACAATATTTTTGTGAATACATTAAAAAAAACAAGAAATAAAGATTTCAGGTAAAAGGAGGAGGAGGGTTGAAGTACTTCTTCTCTATGTTTCTGCGAAATATTGGTAGTATTCAGCTGCTGTATTGGTAGTACATATTAAATTTGAAGTCACAACAAGGTTTATAAGATCTGAGCCTAGCTTAGCCAGGGGAACCATTGTGAATTGGAGGAAACCTGGTTCCCCCACCCCACCCCCTTTCAGGTCATCAGTGTATGCCACAAATAACTAAAACCATTCAAGTATTTTGTGAACAGCGAACTTTTGCAGACGTGTCTGTTAAAGGGCTGCTTTAATTGTGCTTGTGAAACTGTCAGCGGCGCCATCTGGTGGCTGTTTTTACTTTTGTGAATTGATGTACTACTCCAGCCAAATATACAGAATTGATGTACAAGCCATAATGGGATCTTGGATGAAATGCATTTCATTTGGAATTCCTTCTGCTCTCTTGTGGGAAAGAACAGCCTAACTGCTGCACTGGGTGCCTTTTGTGTCAGTTAGTGGGTGGTTACTTTCAGCTCTATGAATCTATTATTCTAAATAAAGTCAGCAAGATGGGAGGCAGTTGAGACAAGGGAGTAATGTAAAACATGGACAAGAGATGAACTGCACTGCTTTGAGTTGGCTTCTGCAATATCTTATTCATAGCAAGAAAGAAATTCATTGCAAAGCCTTGCATCTTTTAATCATACAGTATTGTGAACATTTATTTCTCGTATTCCTTCTAAATGCTGGGATTCAGCACTCAAATGCGTGAAATAAAGCTAAGATAACAGTGCTTCTAAGCATGTGCAGAGCACATTTCCTTCACCAGAAAGTAACCACAGGTAGCCCATAAGCATCTTTAATTACCATCAGTGCTTCAAGATAGTATGACTCAGGCTTGAGGCCCAGATTTTCTCTTTTTATGACCCTTCGGTTTGGATTACAGAATAAAGTGAGAAAAGAGTAAATGCAGAAGAAGAAAAGTCTGGAATCAATTGGTCTGCCACTCACAGAAACCAGCACCTTGTTTCTGTTGCTTGTGCTTTTGTTTCCTGTCACTCCAATTACTTGTTTGGAACTACAGTGGTACCTCAGGTTACATACGCTTCAGGTTACAGACTCCGCTAACCCAGAAATAGTGCTTCAGGTTAAGAACTTTGCTTCAGGATGAGAACAGAAATCGTGCTCTGGCGGCACGGTGGCAGTGGGAGGCCCCATTAGCTAAAGTGGTGCTTCAGGTTAAGAACAGTTTCAGGTTAAGAACGGACCTCTGGAACGAATTAAGTACTTAACCCGAGGTACCACTGCACTGGCAAAACTGAATACTACCCTTCTTTCCTTATACTTCAAGAATGTGATTAAATATTCTTAGTGTTCCCTTCAGGGGCTGTGAAAGAAAAAGTGTCAGGTGATTATTTCTGGCTGCAGCTGCATTGCTTGCTAGTGCGTAAGAGCTTTCCTCCATTCAGTGAAGAGACCGTTATTCACTGAAGGTATTAAACTGCTATTTTAAAACACAGGCCCAGCCCTTAAAGAGTTAAAAATAGGCTTCCAAGAACATGTCATCTCAGAGAACAGTAATTAGCTAAACCTTATTAGATGTCACATGTGTCTGTGAGAGACACAGAGAGAGAGAGCGCCTCCCCAGAAAAGAGTATGGTTAGAGCAGCTTTGATGTAGATCTATACATCAGCAGAGCTACATCGCAGAAGACGCTTGAAAGAAAGGGCATTGCCATAGGGAAATCGGTCTTCGGTCAAGGAGCATTTGCTTTGTCAAGCTGTTCTGATGAATCCTGTGGAAAATCAACTTTGGAGCCAACCACATTAGCGAGGAGGGCTGAATAATGGAACTGGGGAAAGCGAAGCTGCTGAGAACAGGCCTTAATGCTTTGCACCAGGCCATACACCCTGTGCATGGGATTGCGTGGACAGATGGCAAGCAGGTGGCACTGACTGGCCTGCACTTTCACAACAAAGAACTGCGGTTTGGCGACTCAACTGTTATTGGTCAGTTTGAACACGTCCATGGACTTTACTGGAGCCCATGTTACTCGTCTGACACGCCAGCTCTGCTAGCTGTTCAGCATAAGAAGCATGTCAGCGTTTGGCAACTGAGCCACGTTGCCTCGGAAAAGAATAAGCTCCTGGTTTCTCAGACCTGTGAAATTGGCGAGCCATTCCAGTTGCTTCCTCAGGGATGTGTGTGGCACCCAAAGAGAGACGTTTTGTCTGTGCTTACCAAAAGGGATGCTTCTGTTTTATATGCCGTTCGTTCAGACAACTCCAGGATTAAAGCAGATATCAAAAGCAGTGGTCTCATCCACTGTGCTTGCTGGACTAAGGATGGCCATCGCTTAGTTGTTGCTATAGGCAGCGCTCTTCACTCCTATATATGGGACGATGCCCAGAAAACATTAAACGCTTGCTCCTTTTGCCCAATATTTGACGTTGGAAGCTACATTTGTGCTATTGAAGCCACGTTGGATTTTCAAATTGCTGTGGCTACCGAACTCCCCCTTGATAAGATTTGTGGCTTAAATGCAGGCATCACATTTGAATTGCCTGTAGGAACGGAAACGGGTTCTTTAACTTCACAGTCTACACTGGTGCTTGGGGATGAGGAATACTCTATGGATCTGCGAAGAAAGTCTATAGATTCAGACAAATCAGTAGCCGTTGATTCAGTAGCTTCATCTTCCTCGGGCCCAGTTGATTTAACCCACATCCTTTCAAATCACCGGAGATCTGATCCCAGTCCTCTCATTCCTTTGAGAAGGAAGGATTACCCTTCAGGAACTGGCCAAGATTCGTCACACTTGATCTTAGTGACTTTTGAAGGAAAGGTAACCACAACCAGGAAAGTCAGCATTCCAGGAATTTTGGTCCCTGATATAATTGCTTTTGACCTTAGAGCTCAGATTGTGGCAATAGCTTCCAACACTTGTAACATTGTTTTGGTCTACTCTGTCACCTCATCCTGCATGCCCAACATTCAGCAAATCCAACTAGAGAAAAGCGAACGACCCAAGGGTCTGTCCTTTTTGACAGAGAAACTCTTACTAGTTCTGATAGGGAAGCAGAAGTTCACTGACCCCTCACTTATCCCATCATCTAATTCTGATAGATATATCATCCGACTGATGATCAAAGAATTAATATTTGAGGAAGAGCCATCAGCAAAATCTGATACCGCCCACAGCCTGCCATTCAGTTTTGAGTCCTCTGTGAACATTCCTGGGAAAAGAAAGTATTTTGAGAATCTTGCTGCAGAGGATCACATTGTAGGGCAGGAGCTCTTAATCCCAGGCAGAACGATTATTCAGTCACCTAGTGGCAGGAGACGAATGCTGGAAGAAGTGAAGAGTCCTAGTTATGAGCAAAGTTCATCATCTAGTGTGAGCGATTTTGATGAGAAAAGAGTCTTAGGTGACCCATCCATTGCACTGGAAACTTTGGATGCAGAACCAATTAATAGGTCAGTAGCCCTATTTGGTCTTGGAACGCCTACCAGGTTTTCCAACAGATCAGTTTCTTCTAAAGTGATGCAGGAAACTTTGAATTCTCCTAAAAACAGCAGCTTGGCTAATGAAAAAGGAGCCAGTCAAATATCCAGGAATTTGGAAAAATTGTGTGGCAGCTTCAATGACTTACAGTTGAGACTTCTGGAACTAGTAGATTTCACAAAAAATGGAAAGAGACTATCTGTAGCTTACCCATCTTCTCAAGAACCACCTTTTGTTCATATCACCTACCAGGTAATTGATATACCATTCTCCAAAGTAGTTTGTTCTTAGAAACTTCATTACAGTTCTTAGAAACTTCATTACAGGATTTTGCTTAATTAGTAAGTTTCACATGAGCTTCATGCTGTGCTTGATTTAAATGGTGAAATGATAGTTATTAGGAGCAATGGTTATGTCTGATATTCTGCACAGGAAAATCCAGACCTGTGCTTCCTTTACTGTTCAGCTTAATTGTCATTGATGTATTATATATGTCCATTTGTTCTAAGTCATCTGTTTCCAAATCTTAAGGCATATTTTTTTTTACTACAAGAGATAACTGGCAGCTCTATATGTGGCTTTTGAAATGCTTTGAATCTTTTTAGAGAAAGAAGATATCAGACCAACTTCTGTAGATAAGAATATATAAGCTTCAAAGGATCATGGGTCTCACAGCATAAAAGCATTCAGGAAATATGGGATATTCATATTTGATTACATAGTGAAGCAATTTAAGAAAATCAAAATCCATGGATTAAGGTTCCTGTTTCCTCAACAGCAATTCTTTTCTCCTCCCTTGCTTTTTCATGAAATAATTGTCACTATTTTATTAATTTGATTGCTAGTCAATGTTGTAGTGTTTTGTGGTACAACACTAATGACAACAAAAATTAGTCAATAATTTAGATGTGCTGCATTAAGCAAGCTGGAGCATAAAAACCATTATTTGTATTTCTTTAATAATTCAGAGTACCTTCCATTAATATATAAAATATAGTGTAGTAGCAAGGCACATATCTATCTTCCTCCTTCCACTCTTTTCTAAGAAACTTCTGTAGAATTGCTATTGATTTTTTCCTAACAAATTTTATTATTATGAAGCAATAGTTTTTTTTAAAAAAAAATCCTATGATATGAAGCTTGACTCTGCACTCTCTTATTCCGATGACCCAGGCAGAAAATTGTGGTGTGTTGAGGATTTGGGGGCTGCTTTTAGATTAGAGGTATAGCAGTGGAATTATTTTACGCTTTTTGTTTTGCTGTGAGTTAATTTTATCTAAACCAGTCCATCCAGAGTGTAAATGAGATATTTGCTCTGGGAGCTGCTGCTGCTGCTGCTTTCGCTGCCATTAATCCTTCCAACTCATGGTTGACTTTTCAACTACTGTTGTTGCCTTCCTCTTCCTCCTCTTCCATTCCACCCCGCTCCACCCACACAACCACTCCAGGGGTGCATTTTTCAGGCCTGGATAAAGTCACTTTGCCAGCCTTTAAGCACAGCTGCTTTTAAAGCAGAAGCTACTCAAAGAGTAGGGCTATGTACCTGTCATGGGGGTGCCTTATTGCACCCCCTCAAAAATATGCAGCTGGGGCCATGCCCCCCGGCTCCCCCCCACACCTATGCTTCCGTTTCCCAGTGACCAGGCTCAGCCTTGCACATAGGAGCCAAAAAACCACAAAACTTTTTTGAGGGGGCCAAACCCCCACAAAGTTGATGGGCATTCCCATTCAAATGGTGTGTGTGTGTGTGTGTGCGCGCACTGCGTCATGTGATTGATTATGCAGAGTGGGGATTACATGGGCCCCCACAATATTTTATTTAAGTTGGCACCCCTGACCTTGTCATAGCTGTCAACTTTTCCCTTTTCTTGCTTGTGAGGAATCCTATTTGGAATAAGGGAATTTCCCTTTAAAAAAGGGGAAAGTTGACAGCTATGGACCTTGCACCTGGGATAGGTATAAATAGGAACCTAGATACATCGGGCTGGTCTGCACCGATGGCTCTTTGATGCAGATTGTCATGTCAGTAATCTCTAACGTGCTTTCCCCACACTGAGTTGTGGGTTGTCTTTTGGCTCAAGTAACTTAAAAATAAATAAATGAATACATAGATGTAGTCTAATACAAATTAATGCTTTGCTGATGGTAAAAAAGGAGAGACCTTGGGGAGCTCTAGGAGTCATGGTTGTACAAGAACCCCCTCTCTCTCTGACACAGCTGTACAAGTTAGTGGGGATTCCTGAATGGGTTGGATGTGAACAAAATAAATTGTGGAGTGTGCCTGATAGTCAAGGAGGAGGGCTGAAGCAATGGCTGAAATGAAATGAAGGGAACTGCAATAAGTTTTTTCTCCAACCTAAAATACAGAAGCCTGCAATACAGATAATAATACTTAATGCTTTTTGATGAAGACTTGCAAAGTATGAGAATGCTCATTCATGGGGGGCCCTGAATGCAACAGATATGTATTTTTTTTGTATGTAAATAGCAGCCAAGAATCTTGATTCTGCCTGACACAGTTCAGCAATTTTGTGGGAAGCAATATTGTGGGAGAGAAAGCAAAATTCCTGCTCTCTTCCACTAATGGTCCCAAGCCTGCTTTGCAGTGGTTGCATATGTTAATTGCCTTCATGAAGTTAACATCCCTTCAAGTTTGGCCCTTAAAAGCACTATATATATAATGGAAGCATGCTGTTAGTCCAAATGGACTAGCATGTTCCCACGTGACATTAGACTTCAGTGAGCCCACTACCACGTAGTGTAAGCTTCTAAGATGGGTTGCTGTGGAACGGCTGTGTAGGTGCCCATCGATGCAGCAAAACCCTGTTATCCACTGCTGACTACCTTGACGCTGTTAACCCATTCATCTCACTCCTTGATGGACCCTTGGACATGCTTTGCAGGTGGGTGGGGTGGTAGTGCTTGGCTCCAATCCTGCCCCATGTTAACCACACTGCAATGGCCAGCCCAAAGGCCCAGGTGAGTGACTAGTGTCAGAAGCATGAGTTGTCAGGGTCAGGCCATTCAGTAATCGGTTCTTCTGACCAGATTTTTTTCCCCAAGCCGGAATGCACCAGAACTCAGTTCTGGCACCTCTCTGGTGGGCGACATTGCCATTATAAGAGAACAAGGCACCTCTTTTTCTAGAAAAATAGCACTGCTTCTGACCATGCTGACCCCTTAGGGTAGACCTGCATACACAAGCAGTGGTGCGAATGTGAAACATATATGGCATATCTTCTGTACCATTACTTCGCCTCCCAATGTAACATTCAAGAGTCATTTTACATATTGTGCAGAATGATGATGACGATTGTGCTTGTTTACTGCAGGGGAGCATTAAAAAACATAACTTGCCCACTTGCTGTCCAATTTTTTTCACTTAATTTAAAGTGCACCTTTATATTATTTGGGAAATCTGTAATTGTGATCTTCTAATAGCAGTCACAAGGGCCCCTGAATCAGATTGGGACTCTTTAAGGAGCGCACACAAACACACACACATTTTCTGTTTTCCCAGTTACAATACAGAAAGGGGGGGGGGGAGAGATGCCATTTGCCCTGCAGGACAGGCTCACAACATTTTGCAGTCTACTTTAGAAATAAAGCAATATTTCTACAAACATATTCTTTTAACCAAAGCATCTGAATGAAAATAGCTAATTATTTTGTGAAAATTTGTTTCCTACTTAGCAGCCTCCTCCCCAATCTGCAATCCTAGGATAAATAGGCTGGCCTGCCTTGTTCCTGCAATGTTAAGGGTTGTTGAAGCTATGTGTGTAATCACTATATAAATCTTTATTCTCATTGTACAGTTCAGTTAACATGGAAGTATAGTCCTCTCCCACACCTTGTATCTAAGCCTGAAACATAGGAAGCAACCTTAGATAGAGTCAGATTTGGGCTATGTAGCTCAGTGTTTTTCAACTAGAATATATTAATATATACAATGGTACCTCAGGTTACATACGCTTCAGGTTACATATGCTTCAGGTTACAGACTCCGCTAACCCAGAAATAGTACCTCGGGTTAAGAACTTTGCTTCAGGATGAGAACAGAAATCGTGCTATGACGGTGCAGCAGCAGCAGGAGGCCCCATTAGCTAAAGTGGTGCTTCAGGTTAAGAACAGTTTCAGGTTAAGAACGGACCTCCGGAACGAATTAAGTACTTAACCCGAGGTACCACTGTAAAAGTAAGAAATTTTGCATATGGAAGGTGAGAAGTTAATACACAGCTTATTATGTGATCCCTGAATCATCAGAGGTGCATAGTGGTTTGGCACTATTTTGAAAATTCAAATAAAATCCTTGACTTACTTAAGGAAAAGTAAATTACAGACATGTATAATATAAGATGATACTAAAGAACCAGGGGAGGGAATCAGAAGTGAAGCAACCTGCTCCAGTACTGGATCTGAGACTTTTTGCATGCAAAGCATGTGCTCTGTTGCTAAGCTGTGGCCATTCCCAAAAGATGTGGGGAATCAGAACTGGACACAAAATGTAGTGCAAAGCAGTGCTACTCAAAGTAGTGGTCCGTGGACCGGCACCAGTCCACAGGCTATTGGCCGCTAGTGAATACACCACAGCCTGGGTGGGATGTTTCAGGGACCAAATATGGTACTGATCCCTGGTACATTGGGGTGGGGTGGGGGGAATTGCTGGTCCACAATATCAAATAGCTTGAGAAGCACTGGTGCAAACAACACATGCTAAACACAACAATAAGCACAGAGGTCCAAGCAACAAGTGCAAGCACACAATTCAGACTACACATTAGCCTGATTACTGCTTCTTCCTTATAATGGACCCAGCCACAGGATGGGGTGATCTATAGCAGAGGGGTGCTTAGCTACCCTTGCCGGTGCACCCTCATTTCATGCTTTGCTGTGTCTTGTAGAGTGCAAGGCTTTTGTTAGGGAAATAATAAAAAATCAGTGTGTGTGATGAATTAATTTAGAAGAAGAAGAAACAGTTGTGGTTTGGACAAAGTTGACAGTTGGGAATAAGTGTGTGTGCCATGAGCAACTGAGGGAAGTTATTGTAATAATGCATGTCTCTAAGTTGGTAAGGTAGAAGATATTTGGTATAAACAGCTATTACAAGGTCCTATTTAAGAGACACCGAGGAGCTGAAGACATTTAATGTACAGCATCGAATCCTCTTTTTGCTGGCAAAGTGATAATTTGCTCCACCAACAGTAAATGAAACAGAATAGGAAGGTAAATTTAGGGAAGCGTGTTAAATGTACACAATAAAGTTGAGAAAGATAAGAGGCAAACTTGTGATAAACAGTGAGAGAGTAGAGGACAGAGAGGAAGGGGAGACTGGAGAAGTCAATAAACTGAGCCAAGGAGCAGCTGAATCATCACAGAGGTCATCTTTAATAAATCCACAAACCATTCTTATAATCGGGAAGGCAATTTTGAACTAGATTGAAAACATAAAAGGAGTCGTGAAAACTGATAAAAGATGAGGGCGATATGGCTCAGCTTTATAGTGTGATAGACTAGTCAGACAGTTTTGAAAGCAAGATTTAAAAAGCCTGTTAAGAAGTGGAAATGCAGTAGTCAAAACAGGGGATTAATGCTTGGAGCATTAAGGCCCAAGAGGACGGGGTGAAGAAAGGGCGCGTTCTAATAACGTTCTGATGAGGCTGAGCACCCACAAATAGAAATTCTGAATGAAAAACAGTACTGTGTATTTCAAAATTAGAAGCACAGACTTCTTATTGGATGAAAGTCCTGGTTACTAATTCTGTGAAGGCCCTGGTTACTAATTCTATGATGTTCTATAAAAGTTCCTTCCTCTCTAGCTGGTAACCTGATTAATCATTCAACTAGACTCTCTTCAGGGGATAATAGTGTTCTGTTTGGTAAAGAGCCTCATTACTGTGATTTATGTGTATGGTGTTAGTAGCTTGCTAACTTTTGCAAATGAGAGAGAGTCTTGTCTTTGAAGCTAAACAAGTAGAGAGAAGCAGGAGAGATATTTAAAGAATGTTACAGTGGGTAGATTTGACGGGGGGGGGGCAGGAGGGTGCCGAGGGGGCCGCCCAGCGCAGCTGAGACCTGACACACATGGTGGTGGCACCAGTCATAGTGCAAGAAAAGTGTGGCGAGCCGTGCCAAATCACTGAAAGGGGCGGAAAGCAAGAGGGTGCTCCACCCCATCAGAGGAAGGTCTGACCAGCTGCCTGCTCTCCACGCGCAACCCATCCAGCCACCCAGGCGCTGTGCATGCTGCACACACTGTGCATTACCAGACCAGAAAAGAGAACCACCTCCCTCCCAGTCTCATGGCACCTTCGGGACTTCTGCAGCCCAGTTCTGCTGGGCGCCCCCCATGCTACGACTCCAATTATATTTATTTGCCAAGCATTTTCTGATCAGTTATAGTCTTGTCTGCTGTATCTGTACATTGCGATTTGTTTAATGTGGTTTGGTTGAATTGTTTCATATTGATATCGTACACCACCATGATATTTTCTTTTGAAAAAAAGTGGTATAAAAACATTTTAATAAAAATAATATAAAATTGCATAGGATATGATAGAAATGACATACTTTTTTGGCAAATGGTTACTTTTACTCTTGTTATTCAAGAGGTTATGTTGATATAAAAATGAAATGAGGAGGAGAAATTTAAGGTGCCACACATAATGCCCATTCCACATTTGTAAGATCAACCTTTTAGTGTTGCAGCACTGACACTTTGGAATTTCCATCCATGTTGACATCAGGAGATGCCATCACTGTACGCTTTTTGGTCACTGCTAAGAACATTTTTGTTTAAACGAGCCTACTCAGATATGTTGATTTGTATTTTTATCTGTTTTCAGTTGTCGCTTATCTGAATTTCTTTGAATGTTTTAAATAGTTGCTTCTGTGTTTACTGATAATTTTATTGTTTTATTCTTTTTGTAAACTGCTTTGAGGTTTTTTACACTCAAGCAGTGTATAAATTTTATGAAATAAATAAATAAGAAAAAAGTGTACTATCATAAGTAAGAAAACACAGTATTACTGAAATCTAATAGTGACTCTGGGTGATTGTACTGATGGTATAGCAAGATATCCTTTGATGGCTCATTCTTGATGGCTTGTGCTTCTGATGCTATTGGGGCAGTCATACATGATCCTGCTGGCAATAGCATTTGCACCAGCAAAGATTACTTATTTCTTTAGAGCATTTGTGCTCTTTGTCCAAAGTCTCCCAGAGCAGCTTACATACAACAAAAACAAGACAGTCCCTACCTGCAGGCTTGGGGGAAGGGGGAAAGCTAACACACAAGTGGAAAGTACAGTTGCCATACGTCCGGATTTCCCCAGACATTAGCGGGATTTCAAAGGCGGCATTGACGTCCAGGGGAATTTCCGAAAGGTGGAGCTTTGTCTTGGATCTTAGGCCAATCAATTGAAAAATCATGTGAGTTTTCCTAAAAAAAAAATTAAAATAAAAAATTGGGGTCTTCCTAAAAATAAAACAACCACTCAACAACTTTCAGGGTGTCCTGGTTTTTGAAACATGGCAACTCTAGGGGAAAGGGACAGGGAACAGAAGAGGAAAATCAAAATTCAGGCACCCTATTTGCAAATACAACCAACCTCTTTTAATCAGTTGCTTTTGATAATTTATACAACACTTTGCGTGTTAAGAAAGCCCAAGCTTAATGGGTTTTTCCTCCTCTATAAATGCACAGTCCGTCACGTAAGAAAAAATAAGAATCTGTGCCAAGGTAGTGGTTATTACCCGTCCCACCCTCTCACAGAAAGTAAAATCTTCAACCATTCATGGTGCCTGCCTCCCCTTTCCTTTACAATATTTCTATTCAGAATGTATAGTATGTGGTTAAGGTTTCAGTCTGAACTACTAGAAAAGATTTGGATTCTGTTTGCAGAAGCATAAAGCCAGCTTCTAATGAGGTGGTGAAGCTGTTGGTAAGGGTAACAACATAATGGCATATTCCCACATGAAAAACTAGCATGCAATGAAGGATAGGCTTTTGATCTCAGGTTCCTTCCCTATGTACACAATATTTATTGTACAAAGGAGCATTCAACCATGTGAGACCCTACCTGCTTATGAAGTAGTATAAACCAGACACAGATTTACCACATTTTCCTGCTGTTTGTGAGAAAACACAAATATAAAAATGGCCTTTAACTGAAAGAAAATGCACATAAGAGGAGGGTGCTTATAGGATTTTGCATGGTGCGTAGGTGCCCATTGATGCAGCAAAACTATCTGAGACGCTGACAGAGCAAGTGAACCTGAGTAGAAACCAGCATCTGTGCACTAAAGGAGATTAGGAGACATTTATTTGTACTGAAGGTTAATTAAGATGAGGAACAGATTACTAAAAACAGAAACGGAAGGTGCAGCTGTGAGTCTGCTGAAAGGGAATGTTGGTATAAGTTTTCAGTATCAGGATGGAAACACTGCAGAACCACAGCAGAATGAGATCTATATCACTTTGATGCTCCTGATTATTTTCCCGTTAAAATGCCTGTGACACTGCATTTTATTTCTTGTTTAATATCTGGAGGACTAAATAGGATGTTGATGTGATTTACGGTTGGTGCTAAATTGAGAAGTGTTGCAAACAAATACCAATTACTTAGTGGTGAGGGAATAGGATGAGCCCTGGATTGGTTAGGAAGTAATGGAGTGAACTGCAAACAGTGTGATCCTCAGCACTTTTACTGAGAATCATAGCATGTTGACTGGGGACTACCTTGTGTATTTAATGCTGAAGCCAAAGGAGTAAAGAAAGGGGGGGGGAGAGATTTAATAACAAAACCAGTCTCTTTATTTCCAGGCAGGAATGTGTGGGGTGTTAGGGAAGGGGAAGTACTTCTGGGGGGAATAGGTCATGCTACTTCTGGAGTAGCATGCACTCAGCTCTCAACTGTGGCTCCTGGAAGCTGTCAGTATGCAAGAGTGGCAACACCGCAGAAATTACTTTGTCTGGCTAAACCAGGTGGGGGTAGCCAATGGGTCTCAAACCCTCCACGTTACTGGTCCAGAACATCACTACATTTACACACATGCTCTTGAAGTCACCATCTCTAGCCTGAGATGACTGAGCCAGCAGCATTCAGAGACTCACAACAACATCTGAGTGGTCCTAGCAGGGTTGTAGCCCCATACTTTGGGAAATCCTGAACCTTTCTTTAAAAAAAAGAAGTATCTTATAAACAAGTTGTTTTTATGCTGTCCCCACCCCTTACTTTTGGGCATGTGAAAATATGGAAAGCAGAATTCATGAAAATTGCTGATTCATAGGGCTAATTAACAATAATTAATGTAAATGTGACCAGTATTCTAACATGATGTTTATCCCAATATGTTTATGTGCCTGAAGAAGCATTTTTCAAATGGAGCTATAGCTGAAGAAACAAGAACTGTTCTCCTGTGTGATGGCAAGGTTCATCTGAATTTAGTCCAACGACTTTTTGATCTGCCTATTGTTGAAATGAAACATGGTAAGTTCTCTATTACTATAATAATAATAATTTTATTATTTATAACCCACCCATCTGACTGGGTTGCCCCAGCCACTCTCTCTCTCTCTTTTAAAAAATGCAAGTGTTTATTATAATAGGTAGTACTTTGGGGGAACATAATTTGTGCTATTAAGGGATTGTTCACATGTACATCCTCCAATGTGATGGAAGTTTAACTGAGTTCTATTCCCTCTCCTGGCAAGCTTATTCTCCTGAGTGCATCTCAACACTTGCCTGACACTGATCAAGCCCTACTCAGTTGGTTCACAGGTATCATGACCTATACCTACAATAGATGGTCAGTTTAATCCTCATGTTTTTTCAGCAGAATGTTGTTTCTACCATTGATAGAGACCTCCTTGTTTTGTCTCAATGTCTGTCCTTAGTCATATATCAGTTGACTATGTCCAGAAATATGCTACATATTAGTAGGCTTCCCTTCTTGCAGCAGAGCACCCAATCAAGCTACTAATTCTCACCTGGATCTAATGTCATGTAGCATAAATGGGGAAGTTTAATATTTAGCATGATTGTTCAGCAATCCCACAACCAAAGCAGGGTGGTTGCTGCCTTTGCTTACTGGATTAATTCGAAAAACAAAACTCCTAGGAAAGATTTCCTAACAGGTTTGCTGGCAATTGAATGCCTTTCTCTATCAGATACAGACACCATATACTCAGTGATACTTAAAACAGGTGTATCAATTTGTTATGCTCTGGATTAGTTTAATCTACGCTGAGAACAGAAGGAGCTCACCAACATAATCTTCCAAACTCCCACCTTTGATTTACTTGTGAAGGTAGGGAGCAGTCAGGAAAGTAAAGATACACTGTTTCTTTGTTCATGCCTCTATGTATTCAATGATTTAACAACTTCAGCAGCAGCTCAACCATTTTCAGCCTATGATGTTTTCTGCTTTATCATATACTGTAAATATATACTGTAAATATACTGTAAAAATATACTGTAAATATACTGTAAAGTAGCTTTATCATATACTGTAAATATATACACAATACATTGAGGACACAGGGATTGTCCACACTTTTGCTTGTTCCATACCTAGAATGGGTCTGAGCAGTTTTCTACTTGCCCCATGCTTTCTAGCACGGGTCCAAGCAGTTTTGCCTTTGCACCACCACTTTCCCCCAGAAAACCCACTGTTTAGTGTTAAATTGGAACAAATGACAATCCACAGATAAATTTATAGCTGTTTGTTCCAAATCAGCACTAAAGATCAGGAAAGAGGTGGGGCAGATGGAGGTGTGGAAAACCCATGAGCACAGCGGGGAGGGGGCAGCTGCTCCCCAATCAAGTAAATAAATAAGAATACTTGACTGACCAACTGTGTTGCAAATAACTCAGTCCTGCCCCCCCCCCAAAAATAAATAAATCCTGGCTATGCCAATGAATAACCCCCAAGAGAGAAAAGACAGAAAGAGGAGAAAGTGTAACTAAACGGTAGGGCATATAGGAAGGGCTTAACATCACTAGTTTTTGCGACATCATTTATTTATTTAGTATACTCAAGAGATACAGTAAAATTACCCACTCTCAGAGGAGCCTGCCCTTTCTGTCTTGGAATGAGTAGTTGTTCTTGGCAACCTCCAATGAAATCATGAAGCATCATGCTTACAATAGTAATAAGCATTGGACAAAAACACTCTCTCAGGCGTTTGGCTAATTATACAATCTATGTGGCCTTTTAATCTGTGTGTGGGTTTTTTGTTTTGTTTGTTACTATGTTATGTATTTTTGTGTTTTTATATCACAAACCACCCTGCGATCCTCAATGGGCAGTATAGAAATCTAAATAACAACAACAACTTGAAGGGAAACATAGGGGCAGACACTTTTAAGATTAGGTAACTTTTGAGTGTTTTCATAGCTTTGCTTTTTGAATGCAAGTGAGAGTCCAACTTTAATTAAGAAAAAATATATATCTTTAGGAAACACTGCCCCAGTCCCATACAAAACACAATGTGAAGTTGAACATATCGTTTTGAATGTAGAATTTTAATTCATTAAGGAAAACTGTTCTTTCCTCCTTTTTAAAGAGTTATGTGAGCACTTAATCACCCATACTTTCATATACTATGGCTTAGATCAGGCATAGGCAAACTCGGCCCTCCAGATGTTTTAGGACTACAACTCCCACCATCCCTAGCTAACAGGACCAGTGGTCAGGGATGATGGGAGTTGTAGTCCCAAAACATCTGGAGGGCTGAGTTTGCCTATGCCTGGCTTAGATATTAAGATTAACTTTCATTCAACTTTCTTTAGGTTTTCCATTCCATACTCCTCCATGCTACCTTCTGTACCCCATAACAAGCCTCTCTGAAGGAGAAGGGTTGTTCTTAACAATGTTGAGAGTGGCAGGGTTGCTGGAGGAGCGGAATTGCCCCAAACTGGGCAAAAACTGGTAAAAGCCACAGTTGTCCAACTCGGACAACTATTAAATATAACTCTTTAGTTATACTCTGAAATAAAAAATAATTATTGATATTATATTCTTATTAGGCCAACCATGTTTAGAAATTACTAAAGCTTTTTAACCCTTCAGTCACATCCTCGCCTATCCAGATACTGTATACTTCAATTTATAATCTAGATTTGCTAAATGTTTTCTCCGTGCTAAAATAATTCTGTACATACCAACTCAGAAGCCAGCTGCACTCAGTTCAATAGGACTTACTCCCAGGAAAAGGTATATAGGTTTGCAGCCTTCGTTTTTCTCTAGTAAGTTTAGAAAAACACGGCTTACTCTCAAGTGAATTGATTGCATTGCAGGCATAACAACATTTATCTGTACCCAATGCAAAGTGTTATATAAACTATTTTGGAAGTAACCCCCCCCCCCATGTTATACGTATAAGGTTAGCGATGTAATTGCGTAGGTTTACATGACACACACAAACACCCAAGCACAGGGTAGTTTATAGAATCAAAAGTCTGTCCAGAATTAGAAAGAAAGCATTAACTGCAAAAGATTAAAAGTTCATGCTTGGTAACAGTAATCTTCTTATGACGCGACAGACAACACGAAACAGCGAAGCAACATGTGTAGGTGTTTAATTAATAGATTTAATGAAAAGAACTTTCTGTACTTTCAGATACAGTATTATAAGGAAGCAACGCATTTGTTTTGCTTTAATTGGTCAAATTGGAGTGCACAGTTTATTATTTCTCACCAAATCTTATTGGGTACAAGATACCGTCATCTATAAAAGGTAGCTGTTCTGATTATAGGCATGCACATTAAAAGCACACGCACACCTGCTCTTGGTAGAAATTAAAGCTAATGAAGTTCTAAAACACAAATATCTTAGCTCCTTTGTTTTAAATTCAGAAATTAACTTGAACTGTGAATTGGATAGATTTGACCCATGAATAAAGCAGATCAATTGGCTTGGTTTGCACGTTATGGTAAGCCATGGTCTGAAACAAACAATGTCTTAGGGCTCGCCCACACTTCTGCTTGTCCTGCCACTTTCCTCTGGGAAACCCACTCTGTACAGCTGAATCAGAGCAAACGTCAATAGGGTTTTCCATGGATTGACATTCAGTGGTAAAGAGCAGGTTTTCTCAGGGAAAGCAGTGAGGCAAATGGAAAGCCGTGCACAGAAAGCACAGGACAAGCAGAAAACTTCTCTGGCCCTTGCTTTTTAGGAGTGGGACAAGCAAAGTGTAGATGAGCCCTTATTACCGTGACAATGTGCTGGTGGAAACACTTCAATTTTTGCCCACTCAGGTGCTCCCTTTGCAAAGCCAGGAGTACAAAAATAACAGCAATGCCCTAGCATTACTTGCAAAGCAGCACTCATTGTTTGTTTATCTGCAAACAAACCATAGGTGGCAGCCAAAGTTTGTTCTTGAATTACCGTACCTATACATAATTATGATTTCACATGCAGAAGTTTCTCTAAACACAACTTGACTTCACATGCATATTCCTGCATGAGAAAAAATTCCACATGCCAAAGAGGTTTCTAAGAGTTTAACTTGAGAAAGTGTACAAGGAGCCTTTGAACAGACTTATGAGTTCAATCTGCCCCGCACAAACACACCAATTCTCCATGCAAAGCTAGTGGAACAAAGAGGGTAAAGTATACATGTTCAATATTTTTACTAGGAAATCATCCCTGAATGTTAAATTTTTAGTTAATCCTAGAAAAATCTTGATATGTGAGTTGAAATCATGGAAAAAACATAATAAACTGGTGCTTCATTGTCAGTTTTCCCCAGGCCCTTGGTGTACACATTTTCCAGTTATGAGGTTTAGTTGTTTCTTCTCCTGCCCCATTCCCCATTACCATGCCAGAGCTAGTGGAGCCAAATGAAAATACCAAAAAGGAAAGAAAATTACTGATAAATGGTTTGTCCATCTTGGTTCAAAACCTACATCAACATGGTTACCCATTAAGCTTTGCAACACTGTAGGAAGAAGAACCCATGAAAAAGACACGAACAAAGCATGAATTTAGGGTGAATGCTAACATTTACGTAGGCAATTGCATTACCAACATAATAATGATTATACATATGTACACGCTGATGCTTTGCTTTCCCTTTCCTCTAGGTTCTTCTTGGATTGTTCTTACTGCAGATGGTGAAGGTTTTATACCATTAACATTTAAGGCAAAGCAAGAGATCATCATAAGGGAGGGGAGTGATAGTTTGGAAGCCTGTGGAAGTCACTCCTTCAAAAGAAACATTTCTTCGCAACCACCGAGCAGCGTGACATAATAAGGCAAACCAAAAAAAAGATGTTCTTCAACATAAATAACTGCATGAGTAGAAAATGATCAGCAGGATTTTTGACTGCATTTTAAACTAAAACTCATGTGGCTTGTGTTCCATGGTAGCTAGTCCTCCTCACAGTAATCTACTGGATCAGATCTAGTATGTCATGTCTGTATCCACTGAGGCTACAGACTGAGATTCCTGGCACTGAAAAGGAGAATACTGAACTAAAAGTAATGTCACGACAATGGGTAAATATTGCCATATTCAGATTTGGTATATATTCTGTGCATGAAAAGTTAGCATTAATGAAGTTCATGTTTGCTAAAGAAAGGCTAAGTTTGGTAGGCTAACTTGCCCTAAGGATTCTGGGGGTGTGAAAAACATGCATTAGTTTGGAGTCTACACAATGCCAAGATGCTGGTGCAGAATGGTTTGGTCTGTTTTAATTTTTCATGTGGCAAAGCTTCTCCCTAGATTATACTAAAGAACTCCAAGAAACAACAAAGCAAAGAAGAAGAAAACACAATGGGGTGGTTACTAACTTCCAGTGAGTACAAGTAATTCACAGGAAATGCCCATTGGCAGAAAGAAATGGAAGCAGATTTCACCAATATCCCCTTCCCACAGCAGCCTCCTGTGCCCTCTGTGGTGTAGTGGCTAGAGTGCTGGACTAGGACCTAGGAAAACCAGGGATCAAATATCCACTTAGCCATGAACCTAGCTGGTTGCCCTTGAACCAGTCACTGTTTCTGACCTAGAAGAAACATGAGCACCTTTGAGGAAAGGTGGGATATAATGGTAACATTAAAAAATTGTGGGACCTTCTGACATACAGGTAGCAATTTGGGCTGCAGAGGAAAAGGAGAACTGGCAAAAAAAAAATCACCTCCCCCTCTGGCCTGTTAGTTCTGCTCTAGGCAACTCTAGATCCAGTCCATATGTGTTTATTTTGCCACAAATGCAGTGAGATTGACACATGTGCATTTATTATACATGACATAACAAAATATATGTGTTCTACCTTTTCCCTACATGAAATTGAATTATGAAGCAATTATTAGACTGTACAGTGTTAATTAATTAATTTTTTACACAATGCATAATGGTTTCTGTAAACCTTTTCCTTATTCCTGACAACCGCATTCATACAGTCTACATATACAATGAAACTCATATGGCAGAATATAAATTGTTGCTGAGAATCCCCTTCCAGTTGTTATTCTAGCATTTCAAGTTTCTCCCATACGTAAGACGAACTGGCCTATATTTCCACTCTGTCTATGAGCCAAACTGAATGTGACATGGAAGATCTCCTTTGATACTTGTATGCTTTTCCACATGAGACAAATCAACGCTTTGAGTGATTCAAATTAGGAAAATGATGTGTGGAGAAGGATTAAAAAGTAAAACCCTTTTCCTAGCACCATGGCCATGGTCCAAACTGGGGCGAGGGTGGGATTTACTGCTTTTAATTAGGAAAAAAGATGGAATATCCTATTATCATCTCTCTTACATTGCATCTAGTTTGGCTCTTAGTCTAAACTAAGTTTACAGTGGCTCAAAGTCTAAGACGATTTATAGTGAAGTCCTAACAGATGGGGGATGGGAATTTTGTAATGCTTACATTACAAGCTTAAATTGGTTTCAGTGACATAGCTTCCCTCCCCAGAACATTGGAAATTGTAGTTCTGTGTTGTTGTGAAGGCTCCTACAGAATGTCTGTGCCCTTGGAAGAACATTTCCAGAGTTCTGTGGCCAAAGTAGGAAGAGCTAAAAGCAATCAACCAATTTCTTTCTACCTGTAGCATTATACTGTAAAACAAGAATTCTTGTAAAACAAGAATTAATTTCAAGAATTTAATCTTGAAATTAAAAAGAAGTAACTTTAGATTATTTTTTCCAAAGCTTCTATTTTTGGACTTTTGATATGAAGGCAGCTTGTTTTCAATTACTGAAGATGAGGCGCAAAGGTGGCACTACCACCCTGATTATGAACGAACTACCATAATTTATGAGAGACTTTACATATATTGTGCAATGTGACATTCGCTAGCATATATATTTTTTCTCTGCTTGTATTATATTTACATAGTTAAAACAGAATTTTCAAGAAGTTATGCTGCATCTGTGCCAGCAAATATATATATTTTTATAAACACGAGAGATGTATCAACAGACAAATATGCAGATTATTAAATGTGTCTAATTCATGCCATGGAGTTATTATACTCGTTATTTGGAAGGAGGGACTTTGTTGAATAGTGGGTAGACATGGCAGACGACACAGCGATTTCTCCAAAGCAGCTCTTTATTTTGTAAGCTGGAACAGAAACTGAACAGCAAACAGCTCAGCCGGCCTGCTTTTATAGGCAGCCAGCTGTCAACATTGTAGCAACAACAACCCAGGGTTTCCCGCCTAAAATAACTGACGTGGACCTGAGTGAAAACTATCTACAGTATCCCCCTGCTGGCCCAGGGTGAGAACTTCAGTACATAACACCCCTCCCCACCGAGATAAGGCGTTAGTTACAATCGTAATGGTTTCCTTATATACAGCACTACACATAATGGTTCAATTAGGCACAAAAGCATATCGGTTACATTTCCCATACTTAGACCAACAGTGATACATGTCCAACAACATAGTCCTTTAAATAAGTTGGGCACTTGGAAACTCTGCCAGACCGCCGGGAACTGGTAGCCAAGTCCGGGGGGCCACACAATTCTTGCTGAGGCTGTGGTGCGACCCTAGGTGGCGTCGAAACCAAATCCCCTGGATCCGCTGCTGTGGGTAGAGCCTCTGCAAGTGGAGTGGTCTGAGTCTGTGGTAAGTCTGGCAGACCCTCTGAAGCGGCTTGGTTCGGCTCCATGCTGGCAGTTTGCGAGGGAGGTGTAGGTGGAGCCTCGCCATCTGTAAGTGTCTCTTCTGGAGCCACAAGCGCAGTTGGGGGCACCACGGTAGTGTCCAAGTCCCCAACCCTGCGCCTAAGCTGGTCTATGTGCCGGCGCCACAAGCGTCCGCCTTCGAGGGCCACCTGGTATGAGCGAGGTCCAGTGACTCTCACTACTGTGGCTGGCACCCAAGGAATGTCCCCCACATAGTTCCGGGCAAAGACCTGGTTTCCTGGAACAAATGACCGTGGCACATTGGCACAGCCTGGGGGTTCGGCCAAGGCAAAGTCCGGTGGTAGCAGTCAAACCGAGCGAGGTAGGAGTCCCATGATTCAGAGGCTGGCGCAAACGGCGGTAGAGGCACAAGTGAAGCCATGATTCCGATGCCGGAGAGAAGGGCGATGGATGGAACACAGTGCTCTAGCCAGAACGGTCAGCTCTGAATTGGTTCTGTCCAGTGATTTCGCTCAGTGATTTCACTCTGTGATTCAGCTCAGTTCAGAGGATGGCCCCATCTGGCTGTGCTCTGATGTCCACCGATCCCACCTTTGTCGCCAGTGTAAAATAGTGGGTAGACATGGCAGATGACACAGCGATTTCTCCAAAGCAGCTCTTTATTTTGTAAGCTGGAACAGAAACTGAACAGCAAACAGCTCAGCCGGCCTGCTTTTATAGCCAGCTAGCTGTCAACATTGTAGCAACAACAACCCAGGGTTTCCCGCCTAAAATAACTGACGTGGACCTGAGTGAAAACTATCTACAGTATCCCCCTGCTGGCCCAGGGTGAGAACTTCAGTACATAACAGACTTACTCATTTCCATACGTAGGGCATTGCTGCTTTTAAAAATATGATCCGGTATATTACCTGTGGTGGTTCATCCATATAGTTTGAGATACATATAAGGGAAGAAACTAGCCCTTTCTCCTCTAACTGTAATTCTAAGTCTTACCTCTTCTCCCTCATTGTGGCTTATTCAATATTTGCTCGGAATATTGTTCTTCCTTCCGCTACCGTTCCTTTGCTCCACCACAAGCCTCCAAGAGTCCTTGGGATAAGGCTGTACCTTTTCACAAAACAAAAATGACAGGGGGTTTCATTCTGACATTGATTTGATATTATTTCTAATCATTTCTAAACAAGGAGAAATGCGTTAAGTCTCTTGCCGCAAGAGCAAGAGTCCTGCAGCCCCTTAAAGACTAGCAAATATCTTATGACATAAAATGTTCATCAGATTGTTATCCCCTTGTTACAGGTAACACAACATACATGGTAATGTATGAAAATGTATATACGGTACGTGTGTGAAAAAAGCTCAGAAGTACTGAAAAAGCACAGACAGCAATAAACCACGGGGATTCATAAACGCACAGGGAAAGTCAATTCATCTGAACCCGATCTTATTAATAGCAAAAAGGTGAGAGACCTTCATAGCTTACCAAAAAAGGGGCCAAGACAAACAGGAAAAACACCCAGAGCTCCTTCATTTAAAGACCTCCCAGAAACCCAAAGACTGCACATATGTGTCTTCTTATTTGCTATACACTTGTTTATTAAATTCAGCGGTTGTTTTTTACCAGGACGAGAGTTTCAGAGGCAGAGCTAGCTACCTACACATGTAACCTGCTATTTCTACGAAGAGGTCGGGTTATACTCACAGCAACCTTACGCGCTAGGACGGAGACTAGCGGCCTGCCCGCCATGTGCATATAAAGTCCAGGACTTGACCCCCGACCCAGAAACGTGGGAACTGTGGTGTGTTAAAATGTTGGGAACTGTAGCTGTGGAAGGGGGTGAATTATAGCTTCTGACATTCTTGTTGGTGGTGTTTGGTGCGTGTGGGCAACCTCAGCCTGACGCGCTTCGTGGCCGAATGGGCGTTTGAGGCAGGCTTTCAAGCCGTGGTCGCCTGTGAGGGAAAACGCCACTATATATATATGTATATGGACCTAATGGTCAGGGCGTCCCTTTACCTTTATATGTATGTGAGTATACATACAGAGCACTTGCTTTTATTGTCAGGCACATAAAGTGTATTGAGAAGCTTACGAGCTCCTAATGAACAAACCGGGGAAGGTTGCCTCATAACGGCCAACTGAGGCCCGAGGACGAGGCGGGACCAGCGCGTCTCCTGGCCCCGCCTCCCTGTCAGAAATTCTCCTCACGAACCGCACGCGCCGCCTGCCACCCAACCGCATAGGAGAAGCTTAAGCCACGTGAGAGAGGCTTCAAAGAAAAAAAGGGGGGAGGGGAAAGCAGCTCCCTTGTCGCGAGAGGGCGTTTGTTAGATCATAGAGAGACCCATTGGTGGTAAGTAGAGCGCCGTCGACTGAGGAGCGTAGACAAGGGGAGCTGACGCGAGGCGCCCGGCTTAAGGCCCCGCCCCTTTTCCCGCCTACTGCCACCACCGAAGGCCTCCCGCAGGCCAGCCAGCGCCCCTTGTGGCGGCTCGGGAGCCGAGCAGCTCCTCCTCCTCCTCCGCTCGCGAACTAACAGGAATGAACAGAGCGCCGAGCGGGTGCGAGAAGAGGCCGATGTCGTTATCCCGATTGGCGACCGAACCGCGTTCCCTTATAAGGTAAGAGCCTCCCGCGGCGGGGGGGGCGGGCAGGTAGGCGGGGGCGATGGAGAAGGAGGAGGAGGGGGCGGGGCCAACGGCCTGAGGGAAAAACCCCGAGGCGCTGCGGTTTTATAGTGGGTGGGTGTGTAGCACGATTTAGGCCGCAGTCCGATACGCCTGCTTGGGGTTGAGTCCCGTTGAACTTCAGTTTAAAGAAAAGCAAACCCACACGGACAGTTCTCCTTTCATGGGATCGGAATGGATCCTGAGGATCATCTAGTCCAACCCCCTGCAATGCAGGAATAAGGCAGCGCCGGTCCCATACGGGGCTCGAACCTGCGACCTTGGGGTTATCGGCATAGCTGTCAACTTTCAGATTTGAAAATAAGGGATCAGCAGCCTCGAAAAGAAGGGATCAGCCGGCTCACCTGGCCCAGGGAGCCTCGAAAATAAGGGATCAGCAGCCTCACCTGTCCCAGGGAGCCTCGAAAATAAGGGATCAGCAGCCTCACCTGTCCTGGGGAGCCTCGAAAATAAGGGATCAGCAGCCTCACCTGTCCTGGGGAGCCTCGAAAATAAGGGATCAGCAGCCTCACCTGTCCCAGGGAGTCTCGAAAATAAGGGATCAGCAGGCTCAACTGTCCCAAGGACAGTCTACGGAATATCTAACAATCCGGGATAGCAGTGGGAAACAGTGCTGGAATAAGGGAATTTCCCGCAAAAAAAGGAAGGTTGACAGCTATGGTTATCGGCAGCCCGCTCCTAACCAGCTGGAGCTGTGAGTCACAGAGCAGTCCTCAGTCTAGGCCTTGGGGGCCTTTCACAATACGGTTTGTATAAAATAGTAGAATTTTGGAATTGGAAGGGACCTCCGAGGGTCATCTAGTCCAACCCCTTTCAATGCAGGAATCTTTTGACGTGGGGCTCGAACCCACAACCCTGAGATGAAGGGTCTCGTGCTCTACCTGACTAGGCTACTGTCGTGCTGGAAGAGAGATTTCTGCTCTCATGCAGCAGAGTTAAGCGCGACTGCGGTTGCTCCAAGCTTATTAAAAACTGTCAAATTGGAAGGGACCCCATCTGGTCCACATTTTGCCCAGTGTGTGGGGCTTGAGTCTGCAACCCTGAGATTTAAGAGTCTTACGCTCTGCCAACTGAACTAGTGAAGAAGCAGGCATGCGGGTTCCAACAATTATATATGCTTGTATGGTTCTGAACTCCACGAAGACTGGCAGAGCCTACAGAAAACACCTTGCTTGCTCTGTTCAGAAAAATGTTTTGTTTGGCTATTGTATGCACTTTACAAGTTCCCTGCTGCCAAGTAACTGGGTTTTTGAAAGACTTAACAATGATACCAAGGCCAGTGCAGAGTAGCATAACAAATCAAGCTGGAATTGAGTCACAAGCATAAAGCAAGAACTATGTGCAGACATCCCTGCTGTGGTCTATACATCAAGTCTCACACATGCAGCACTAGTTTAGTTTGCCGCCTGATAGCTGACAAAACGGGTTCTGGGCCACAAGAGTTTATGCCACAATTTATTACTTCATAAGGTACCCCAAGACTCTTTGTTATACATGTGGAGTGTATTGTCAAGTAATCACTCCTCAGTTGTCTCCCAGGACAGACGGATGCCAACCATGCATGTAGGTAAAGGTAAAGGTACCCCTGCCCGTACGGGCCAGTCTTGACAGACTCTGGGGTTGTGCGCCCATCTCACTCAAGAGGCTGGGGGCCAGCGCTGTCCGGAGACACTTCCGGGTCACGTGGCCAGCGTGACAAGCTGCATCTGGCGAGCCAGAGCCGCACACGGAAACGCCGTTTATCTTCCCGCTAGTAAGCGGTCCCTATTTATCTACTTGCACCCAGGGGTGCTTTCGAACTGCTAGGTAGGCAGGCGCTGGGACCGAGCAGCAGGAGCGCACCCCGCTGCGGGGATTCGAACCGCCGACCTTTCGATCGGCAAGCCCTAGGCACTGAGGCTTTTACCCACAGCGCCACCCGCGTCCAATGCATGTAGAAGACATACTAAAAAACATACCCATTTCACAGATGGGATCATTAAGGCAGACTTGGGACGTATCACTGGCTTGGATCATTTTGAGTGCTCTGCACGTGTTCTGAATTCTCTACCGTAGATACTTATTCACCTTTAGCGAGTATCTATAGTACAGGGAATACAGAACACATGCAGAGCATTGAAACTAATCCAAGCCAATGGCAGTAAAGGCACAATCAAGGTTTTAAGCTTTTACCAGATATTTTTCTGTTGCACACTTCTCCCAGCCACTACAAACACTTTTTAAAAAAAGAAACGAGAAGGCAGCTGTACCCCAAGCAGTAGGGCTGATTATTTTTCACTCTGATGGTAAACTTAGTACAAAGTGCCCCCTGCTCTCCCCAGCTTCTTATATTTGCCTTATGCAAGGCAGATTTGGGTTTGACACAAAGTATACACTTAGCAGGGAGCTGCTACCAATCCTGACTGTGGTGAGAGTACCTGTCTGACATAGATGTCAGAAAACACATCCCACCCCCTCCCAAAGAATTATGGGTACCGTAGTTTTGTCAAGAGTTGCTGGGATTTGTACCTCTGAGGGATAAACTGCATTACCCAGAATTCTTTTGAGTGGAGGAATGTGTTTCAAATGGGCTTTAAAGCTATAGTGTGTATGCAACCTTAGAGATAAAAATGGGTAATGTGAGAAGAACATCAATATTCTAGCATTTGTTAAAGTTGTTATTGTCTATTACAGTATTGTAACAAAATAATATAAATACTTTTTAAAAAATGCAAATAATACCTACTGATACATGGGCCTCTATATTTTTGGACTTTGTTATTTTAACCCATGTGCAACTATACTCATTCCATGTGCCTATTTTATAGTTTTGTTTTTCATCTTTTTATTTTTATTCATTCTTTTATTATATACATTGTAAAATGAAATTTTAAAAACTCTGTGGAAAAAAGATACATGAACCTCAGTTGTATACTTTACTCCCCTTTTTGCTTATTGTCTCAAATCACTAAATAATTTTTTTTAAAAAAAATGAATGGTAGAAGAAAACAAGAAACCTTGATGGATCAAGGCAGAGATTCATCCAGCATGCTCTTTTCAACAGTGAGCTCCAAAATGTTCCTGGGAATTTACCTTTTGTATTTGCGTCATTATATGGCATAAAGACAAATTAGCAACAGCGAAAATGTTTCAAATAATGTTTTTTGTTTGCTTGCTTTATAGATGTATTCCTTCAGAACATAAAAATGGAGTTGGGGAAAGGAAAATTGCTGAGAACTGGCCTCAATGCCTTATACCAGGCCATACATCCTGTGCATGGGATTGCTTGGACTGATGGAAAGCAAGTGATCCTGACTTCGTTATATCAGCATAATGGAGAACCTAAATTTGGCAACTCGAATGTTGTTGGCCAGTTTGAACACGTTCACGGACTTTACTGGGCTCCATCTTGTGACCCGGATCTCCCTGCACTCCTTGCTATCCAGCATAAAAAACACATCACCATGTGGCAGCTATGTTACAGTGTTTCTGAAAGAAACAAACTGATGGTTTATCAAATCAGCGAAATTGGCGAGCTGTTTCCCATACTTCCTCAGGGCTGTGTGTGGCATCCGAGAAAGGAAATCTTGGCTGTGCTTACTACGCGGGACACCTCTGTGCTACACTCGGTTCGGATCAACAACTCCAGAATAAAAGCAGATATTAAAAGCAGTGCGCTCATCCACTGTGCTTGCTGGACTGAGGAAGGCAACCGCTTGGTGGTTGGGATAGGCAGTGCCCTCCATTCCTATATTTGGGATGATGAACAGAAGACTTTGAATGCATGCTCTTTTTGCCCAATATTTGACGTGGGAGGCTACATCTGTGCAATCGAAGCAACATTAGGTTCTCAAGTGGCGATTGCTACCGAACTTCCACTAGATAAGATATGTAGCTTAAATGCGGGCATTTCGTTTGAAATGCCATCTGAGGCTGTCGGAAACTCTGTTCCCTCACAAACTTCCTCGTCAGCCTGCAAAGAAGAGCTCTCAGTAGACAGTGGGAAAAAGTTAACAGACCAAGAAAAACCTGGGTCCATTGTAACTTCTACATCTTCGTCGGTGGATCTAACCCACCTCAATGCAAGCAAGCAGCAGTCTGATAACAATTCTCTCCTTCATCTAAGAACTAAGGATTACTTA